TACTTTAGTATCTTGTTTTAGCCTTTTTTCTAGCTATTTTATTAATGAAAAATAATTGGTAATAGATTTGGAATTCTTATTTTATAAATAAAATATATTTTCTTACTACCTCAAATAGAAAATGGGATGGGTTGAAGTTGGAGTAAGGTATTGTGTAGTGGAAATAAGACAGTTGCAGCAAGCCCTTGTTCTTAATCTCTAAGGGTTGAGCACATGTCGTAAGACAATAAATTGAATAAAGCATGTATTTTTTGCCATACTGGGAGGATAAGAATGACTAAGGGATTTGGGAACACAATGTAATTTGCAATGTTTGTTTTCCTTTCTGCCAAGTCTTCTGCAGCTTCTTTTTTTCCTTGAAAATATACATTAACAGTTAATAGACATGTTACTCTACAGATGCAAAGAAGCAGATTCAAGCATTTGCTACCCAGACCATTGCTTCTCGATTTACATCTACCATACAGTCCGCATTTAGTGTCGTCTGAGATCTTTAAGGAGAGAAAGATGGAATGCAATGGAAGTATGCACTTGTAGTAAAGATTTGCATTACATAAGAAAAAGAGTTTTTGGCCAAATAAAACAACAAATTAAGAAGAGTTCAAAAAGGAGGCGATTTTTTCGCTGGGCGATTCAGCTAGCCTCTCGTTTCCCCTTCTTGCTTCTACTTTCTACTCGGCCTCCTTTTGCAAGCGCCGTGAATCATAAAACGCTCCAATAAGGGAAGTGGTTCTGCGTTTTGTCTCTCTGTGGGTTTGAAGTTGGGGATTTCATTTCGAAGGAATCATGTGAGAATTAAAATGGTATGGAATTTTCATCGAATGGGGTGTAAATTAGAGAAGCGCAGCTTTTTGGGCACTGTGTTATATTTTGTCGTTTAGCAGAGGACTTTGTTGAGGCTAGTTTCTGACACATCTTTTTCAAAAACAGAAGTGAGGTGGCAAAAGGAGTGGGCGGGTGTCTAATGGCGAATGTTAAAGCAACTGCAGCTACCATTTGCTCTAATGTGTTTTTTATGTGATTTGGTCTAAGAACCAACCACGCCCATTCTTGTTTGGATAATATGATGACTTACCATTTTTTTTAGAATATAGGATGATAATTTTGAGTTTTTTTTTTTTTTACTTGTTTAAGTCTTTTAAGATTAAAGAAAAATTAGGGATAATCAATGATAAAGGTTCTAGAGATTTTTGGGAATTTCTTAATTGGTTATGCATTTAGTAAGAGGGGGAAAAAATCTAAAATTGATTACTTTTTATTCTCTTCTTGGAAATTAAGATTAGATTAATTAGTGTGTTTTTTTCAAAAATGCCATAGCTACATTTACGTATAATGACAAATGATTTGGTAAGGTTGTAACATAATATAGTATTATATAATTTATTCTTTTTATTTAAAGGTTTATTTGTGATATTATATCTATTTATTTAGTTAATGATATATTATATTCATTTAATGTCATATTATGATTATAAAGAGTTTTCTTAACGTGCATCTTAAAGGTACAAGTTAAGGATGGAATTATTGTACTTTTTAATTAATAACTTTTATATAAAAAAAAGTAAAAAAATTTGACATTATTGCTTGTACCAATGTACATGTATTATTTAATTAGTTAGTTGAAAAAATTAAAGTTAACATTTATTTTTTTATATAATGTAATAATTAAAATATATAATAATTACACTCTTAATCTATATTTTAAATTTATTATATATTTTACATAATATTATAATTATGGTATTATCATATTTCTTTTTGTTAGAAACTTCCTTCTCAAAATCTTCTATGG